CTGATGCAAAAGCCAGCTGGGAGATGCCAAGACAGCCCTTCCCAGGCTGAGCAGCAGTGCCAGTCCAGTCCTGGCAGACCCCACCAGCTCCCTCCCCTCGCCAGCTTGGATTCCTCCTCCTGCTCCACAAAGTGCACAATTACCCTCCCTGGACCCCCTGTTGGACTTTAATTACAGCCCCTACCAGGTGCCTGGAGAGGCAGGAGGGGAAGGGTTCAGCACAGGCCACGCTGGGCAGTCTCTGAGTCCTCTGAGTGATTTTAAACAAGAGGCAAAATCTGGTTTTTTATCCCCAAAAAGCCGCCACGGAGCCGCCGGTGATGCGTGCGGTGCTGCTGGACACTCTCCCATCAAAGTCACTTAACAGACTGGCTTGGAGGTCTGGATTTTTATGAGGACACCCTGAAACAAGCCCCTGATGGAGGGGAAGCAACGAGGCCCCTTTTGTTTCCAGCCTCCGAAGGACGGGACTCGGGGGAATTCGTAATTAAATAATGCCATTAATGAAAAGTGGGTGACCTCAGCCTTCTGAGCTCCTGCATCTGGGCTGCAGAGATCAGCTGCTCCCTTCCTCAGAGGAGAGGGTTATTTTTAGTGCAGAAATGGTCTGTTTACACTTGACAGCACAGGGAGCACAGGCCGTGCGTGTGACCCCCCCACACACACAGACATGCACACCCTGGGACACCATTTCCACGTGCTCCAGAGGAAGGCAAGTGGAATGAGTGTCTGGGAGAGTGTTCCTGAGCACAGAGCAGCCCCCAAAATGCCCTCTCCCAGAGAAATTTGTAATTATTGTGGTTATTAGGTCGTGGTGTGTCGAGGCAGTTTCTGCTCCGAGGGAGAGGAACATCATCCCCTGCACACACAGCCCTGTCTCCTCCCTCAGCTCCCAAAAACCAGCAGCTGGAATAATGCTGGAAGTGAGGCCCTTGTGGGAAGGGCAGGAACACTCCAGACTGGAGATGTGGCAGCTCCAGCAACGGGGCACCCGAAGGAGCCACACCTGGGGGTCAGTCAGGTCCCACCTGGAGCACCTTGGCATCACCTCCAGGGCTCTGCCAAGGAGTGGGAATCAAATTCC